TCAATCTAATTTATTTTATCTTTTTAACTTTTTTATCATAAATTTGTAGATTCTGGTGAAGCACAATCTGAAGGAAATAAAGTTTCTCAAGAAAATAATAAGAAAAGAAGGCTCAAGACACCAGCCCAGGTCACTGCACTGGAGAACTTCTATAATGGTATTTATGTTTGCATACTCATTTTGTTTGGATCCTTCCTCAAACCTAAGATACATATTGTCAACTGAAAATTTTTTGCTCTGCCCCAGAGCACAAATATCCCACAGAGGAAATGAAATTAAAACTTGCGGAGCAAATAGGATTGACTGAAAAGCAAGTCTCCGGATGGTTTTGCCACAGAAGGTTAAAAGACAAAAGGTTGTTGAGAGATGAAGCATATGCCTTCGGACGACAAGACCGTTCAAGTGGTGTGATTCAGGATCGTGGAAGCGGCCTCTGGCAGGATTCCTGTGGTAGCACTAAGCAGGGGGATTACAGAAATGCTGATCTAAGGGAGGTGGAGAGTCGTAGACTTTATGGCCATGATATTTTCGCTGGAGATGTCAGCTATGAGCATAGGAGTCCATGTACAGGAAATGTTGGTGGCATGGATAGTACATCTTCAGAAAGTAGCTCATCATTACAAGATAGATTTCTTTATCAAAAGGAGGGTCCTTATGATTCTGGATATGTAAAAGAGAATAAAGCTATTATGGATATGACACGTACGAATAGTACGGGATACAAGCCATCAGGGTATTTAAAAGTGAAGGGTGAGATTGAGAATGCTGCTATCACTGCTGTTAAGAGACAACTGGGAAGACATTATCAAGAGGATGGTCCACTTTTGGGTGTTGAATTTGATCCACTTCCTCGTGGTGCATTTGAATCCCTAAATACTGATCCAGTCAATTGTAAATCTCAGTACACATTTCTATTTTTCTGCATAACCTCTTTTGCCATGTGAAATTACCTACTTTGAACTGATATATTTTTGCTGTTTGGGCTCCTGTGAATTTATTTTTATTTGATTCTTTTAAGTTGCATGTGCAAAATAGTGCTAAACACATAGTGAGCATCACAAATGGCCAGTTCACTTCTTAAATCTGTTCACAATGATGCAAAACTTACATCATATACATTTCTCTAGATGGTCTACCATGCTTTGTCTTGTACAGCATATTATTCATATTTTGGATCTCTTTGAGTTCATGTTAGTGTATATTGATCATCAGTTTTATTTTGACTTTATATTTAGTCAGGGTTTGTTTTTTGTTTTGTTGCCCATTGATAAATTTGTGTGTCTTTTTGTCTGTGGTTACTTTGGTTAATTTTGCAGATGTTGCATTTTTTTGTTCGGTGTACAATGGTGTGTGTTTGTTCACATGAATCTAATTGTTTTTGTTTTGAATTTCTTTCCCATATTTCAGTAGTAACAATCATATACTCCATTAAATGCTTTGGCAGCAGCAATTTATAACAGGAACTCAAGACGAACCCAGTCTCCTGACGTTTCTGGATTTACAAAGTATCCCAGTTTGGACCCAGTAATGGAATTTTTATGCATTATTCTAACATATGGTGGATTCATTGGAAGCTCAAGGGCTTGATCAATATGGTAACTTAGGAAAGATGTAGAATGTTATCAAATCGAAAGTATGAG